CATCCTTCCTCTTGACTCGAGTCCCACCCCTCAACACCTCCTGGGTTGGAGCCCTGAACTAACCACCTGCCTAACTACCTACCTACCTCTCCCCACCCCTTTCCCCTCTCCCCTCAACTGTCCGTCTCGCTCCCTCCCGATAGCCACCTTTGCACTGAACGCAGCTCTGCAGGCCTGCACCCTGGTCTCCGTCGCCTGTGTTCATGCCCCAGGTGTAACTAAGGACAAGAACAGCAGGTGCTCAGCACCTCTTGAATTAGGAAGGTGAGAGGCGTGGAGAGTTGGTTTTTGAAGTAATAAGCTCAAGGAAAGTCCAAACATTCCCAGGCACAGGAGACAGGCCTGAGGGTGACTGAAAAAGAACCTCGTGGCCTCACCTAGCCCGTGGCACCTTGCGTGACCAAGGTGGGAGGGACAGGCAGGCAGCTGTGAGGAAGAGCAGGCAGGAGGTGCTCTGGGCACGCGGAGAAGCGTGGCCCCGGGTGAGGCAAGTGTGGGCTGTGGGGTTGGTGGAGGAGGGAGCTTGGACTTTAAGATAGGGGGGCGTGTCTGAGGAGGTGGCCAGCCATGGGAAGAGGGTTCTAAGAAGAGAGAACTTCGGCGTCATGCTCCCCACTGGGAAACCAACGTGGGGTGTCTGAAAGGCAGTAGACGTCAGTGGAGTGAACGCCCCACACGGGACGGGCAGGCCCTGCGAAGCCCCACGGGAGTGGCTAGGGTTTTCCTGCAAACGAGATGAGCGGCATGTAAGTGTCTCAGCAGAGAGGGGCTGCTCCCGTCGGTGATTTGGAGCCCTCTCTGCTGCTGTGTGGAGGGGGCACCACGCAGGCCGCCGGGCGACCCCGGGTCCCTGCCGTCGTGCAGGCGACAGTCGCTGGTTGGACCAGGGGGGTCAGTCTCAGTCCAGGGTCACCTGGCTGCCCAGGGGTCGGGGGAAACAACAAGTCTCCGGGGGCATTTGTAATTGCCACGAGTGGGCTGGGAGGGGTGCTCCTGGCTTCTGGTACGTAGCGGCCAGGGAGGCTGCTCTCGTCAACCGTGCGGGAAACCCCCGAGAATGATCTGGCTCAAAATGTCAGCAGGGCTGAGACTGGGAAATCCTGACTCAGGTCATGGCAGTGGGGACGGGACACCTGGGCAGAGGCTATAAAAACACGTGAAAGGTTGAATGGACAGGTCTGTGGACAGGTTGCATGTGCAAATGAGGATGACACGGGGACATGGGCAGGTGTGGTTGCAGTGCACTGAGGACCGGACGTCCACAGAGGACAGAGGTTGAGGGTGGGAAGTGCTGAGTGCTGCTGGAGTGTGCTGAGTGGAAGACGCTCGTAGCGCATTCTTGAGTGCACGTCAGATACCGAGTTTTCCCGAAAATAAGACCTACCCATGAAATAAGCCCTAGCAGGATGTCTAGCATTTGCGCAATAGAAGCCCCACCCCGAAAAGGAGCCCGAGTGACGGCGTGGCCACGCAGCCGTCTGCACAGCCCATGCGTGTGGTCTCGGAGCGGGAAAGACAACGAGCAGCCTTCTCATCCGCCCCGTGACAGCTCTGTGGCTCCCGGGGAGAGATCGGGCCGGTGGGTGTTAAAGAAAACAGAGTCGCAAGACATTCAGGGATGGAATTCGGGGTTTGGAGAGTGATGATGATGTTCCAGAAGAAGACGACTTCACTATATTTGAATAAATGTAGATTGTTGTACCGTACTTAAAAAAATAACACATCGCCTGAAAATAAGCCCTGGGTGTCTTCTTGAGGAAAAAATAAATATAAGACCCTGTCTTATTTTGGGGGAAACACGGTAGACAGGGAACAGTCAGGTTGAAATTTAATTTTCTGAGACATCAGCACATTCCTTGGTGGTGGTTGTGTGTTTTTATGATCATTTTTCTGGTTTGTTTTGTAATTTTTTTACTTGAAAGCAACATAGATTCAAGGAGGTGGCAAAGAAATGTGCAGGGAGGTCCCATAACCCTCCCCCCAGCCTCCTCCAGTGTCCGCATCTGACACAAGTATATTAATGACAATTAGGAAATCAAAGAATTGACCTTGGGAGCTTTTGTTTTCAAAACCATGGATGAAATCGGAGGTGTTGGGAGAGGGATTCTGATGGGTTCCAACATCTCGAAGTCAGGGACAGAGGAGGAGCCTTAAATAAGGAGCGTCCAGAAAGGTGGGAGGGAGACCAGGGCAGCATGGGGGCCCTTATATGTGGCAGGTAGCAGGACGCAGGCAGGTGTCTCCCAGGGGTGACGGTGGGTGTGCCCTGCACTGGTGCACGGTGGCAGCTCCAAGTGACCTGGAAGCAAACTGTGCAGTGTCTCAGAAAGGAGGGGTGGCTGGGCCCAAGCCAGGGAGACGTGAGCTGAGAATAGAGCTTCTGCGTGGCGGTAGCGCTCTGGGGTGGCCAGCGACCCTAAACGAGAACCGTTTGCCTGACGCGGTGGGGACAGAGCCAGGCTGGACTAGGATGAAGAGGAAATGGAGGAGGACGGTTTCCCAAGGAATGTCCCTGGGAAGAGGGGACAGGACCTCGAGGTTGCGGGAGGGGGGAGGGGCCGCCGGCCTCAGAACCCCCCCCCCAGGGCCCTCTTGGCAGGGGCCTCCAGGAGGGGGAAGGGTGGGTCCGCAGCGGGGTCACCGAGGGTCCCTGACCCGCTCACCCTCCCCTTCCCGTGCAGCCCAGCTCTGGCCCAGGCTGGCGGCACAGGAACGAGGCGGCCGCGCACCTGGGCTCCGCTCGGCGCGGTCTGCAGGTCGCCAGGAGTCCCGGCTTGGCGTCTGCCAGCCCCGCGGAGGCAAAGGGCCTCGGCCGTGGGCGGCCCGGGCAGTGGCCTGCAGACCCGCAGGAGGAGCGGCCGACCCGGCGAGGGTCCCGCCCAGCCAGCCCCGTGGGGTGGGAAAGGGCGCCAGGCCGGGGTGGGGCGGGCTCGGGCTCTGGGGCCTCGGTGGGCCCAGGCTCCCCCACCAGCCACGCATCCGCCCTCGCCTCTCTCCCGTGGCGCCTCTGGACACCGGCTCCTCTGCGGGAAGGAGCTGGCCTTCCTCAGAGAAGGCCCAGCGTGGGCCGCAGGACGCAGCGATCCGCGCAGAGGGCAAGGTGGCTTTATGGCCTGAAACGCGCCCACCACGCTGTGTGGAAGGCCCGGCCTCCAGGACCTCAGATGGGGCCCTCGGCAGACGCTGCCTTTAAAGAGATACCGCCCTCCCTTGGTGCTGGGGGGCTGGTTCCAAGCCCCCTTGGATACTAAAATTCACGATGCTCGAGTCTCTGATGTCAAATGGCGTCGTATCTGCCTGTGACCTCTGACATCCCCCTCTGTAAGTCCCGGATTTCCTACAATGCCTAATACGTAACTGCTATGCAACAAGTTGCTCTCCTGTGTTTCTTAAATTTGTGTCACTTTTTATTGTTACCCTGTTGATCACTGGTTTCTGCTTTTAAATATTTTTGAGCCCCAGATGGTTGAATCCAAAGATGTGGAGCTGGGATGCGGAGGGTAGAATCAGTTAACAGGTCACTAGGGTGAGCGCTAGCCCAGCGCGGCCCTGTTCTCATGAGAGGCCAGAACACAGACCGCACAGAGGAAGGCCATGTGGAGACACAGGGAGGAGACATCCACCAGCCGAGGGGAGGGGCACCTTGATGCTGAACTTCCAGTCTCGGAACCGGGAGGAAATCAGTTTTGTTGTGTCAGCCACTCAATGTCCGGCATGTTGTCGTGGCAGCTCGAGCAATTAGTACAGTGGATGAGAGAAAAAGGACTGGGTGGGGGCTGGGAGACCTGAAGGTCACCTCCTCCAGGAAGACTCTCCTGACTCCCTCCACCAGGAGGAACGGGCCACTCCCTCCTGGGTCCTGTCCAGTATCCAGGGCACTTATGAGCCACTCAGTGCCTTTCTGTGTCTAAGGATCTTCGTTTGCCAACCTGCTGCCCCGGCGGTCAGGTGCCCAGTGGGCCGCAGCCCTGCGTCCTCCGCCTGCAGCTAGCACCTGGTCCCTGAGTGCAGGGACTCGGAGTGAGGAGTCCCTGTCTCTCCATGACCAAAGCAGAGAGTCATTTCAGAAGAGGTTGGGACAGAGCACCACAATTTGGAGAGTTTATTCCAATCACCCCACATCCCCTTGCCTTTTACATGGCCTAAAACTCCGGCCATCAGTGTCACCTTTGGGCACAGGCGCTCAAATCACAGCAGATGTTACAGGTAAGTGTTGCCCAGCTGTGTGGCCGAGGAGGAAGAGAGACTGGAAGTGCACAGGCCCGGCGGGGTGGGGGGGTGGCTCTGGGGGCGGGGGTCTGTGTGCTCACCAGGGAGCGAGAAGGGTGGGCTGGCACCAGCCTCGCTCTCCAGATTGGCCAAAAGGCAAAATGCAGACGCATGGCTAAATTTGATTTTCAGAAGAACAAGAAAACTTTTTCTTTGTTTGAGACAGGGTCTCGCTCTGTTGCCCAGGCTGGAGTGCCGTGGTCCAGTCGCAGCTCACTGCAGCCTCCAACTCCTGGGCTCAAGCGATCCTCGTGCCTCAGCCTCCCGAGAAGCTGGGACCGCAGGTGCCCCACCATGCCCGGCTAAGTTTTTCATTTTTTGTAGAGGCAGAGTCTTGTTATATTGTCCAGGTAGAAAAAAAAAAAAAGCTTTTAGTATAAGTATGTCCCATGCAACATTTGGGACTTATTTATATGAAGAAAAAACAGATTATTCATTGTTTATCTGCAAGTCAACTTTCACCAGGTGTCCTGCGTTTTATGTGGCAAGGCTAGCCAGCCCCCTCCAGAAATCCTCCCTCCCCGGCACCCACCTCCACCACCGCCGGTGCCCCCATAAGAAGAGCTCACTGGGGACTTTCACTTCTGCTTTCTCGGCGACCCAGGGCCCCGGGGGGAGCCCCCACCTCCCCTCGCCCTTCCACAGCCGCGGAGGCCAAACACGGGCCTCCCAAACACGGGCCTCCCCGCCCCCGCAGGGGCTCCGGAAGTGAAGGACCAGCTTGGCAAGAGCAACGGCCAGGCAGCCCCCCAGGAGAGACACAGGGGACAGGGCTCAGGTGGGCTGGGGCCTGGGGAGGGAGGGAGAGTCCCGCGGCCTCTGAACCAGAAGCTCATTTCATGCATCATTCCCCGGCTCAGCTTCCGCCCTCAGCTTCCCCTTCTGCAGTCACGACAGGCCAGGGAACGGCCTGGCTCAGGGCAGGCCTCGTGCCTCCCGATGCCAAGATGCCGCTGCCGCTGCTGTCCCTGCTGTCCCTGCTGCTGGCCGGTGAGTGGGCCAGGGCCAGAGGGACCAGGTCAGAGCTAGGGCTGGGGTTACAGGTCGAGCCTCTGCCTCCCCACAGGGTCCCAGGCTCAGCACCAGGGGTTCCAGCTGGACGTGCAGGGTTCCGCGACCGTGCAGGAGGGCCTGTGTGTCTCCGTGCCCTGCCGCGTTGCCTACCCTGCGATTGGCTGGCTGGAGTCCACCCCGGCTTATGGCTACTGGTTCAGAGAACGGACCGACTCGAAGACGGGTGCTCCAGTGGCCACAAACAACCCGAACCGAGAGGTGGAAACAAGGACACAGGGCCGCTTCCAGCTCCTCGGGAACCCCCAGAACCATAGCTGCTCCCTGGTGATCAGAGATGCCAGGAGGGAGGACGCGGGAGTATACTACTTTCGGGTGGAGAGAGGAAGCTATGTAAATTACAATTTCAGGAACGCGTTCTCTCTGGCAGTGCCAGGTATGGCACGGGGTGGGAGCCCCCCAGGGGACAGGCGAGGGGCTGAGTGGGGGCTCTCAGGGCACTAGGAGCCCTCTCTGCCCCAGCCTTGACTCAGGAGCCAGATGTCTACATCCCGGAGACCCTGGAGCCCAGGCGGCCGGTGACAGCCATCTGTGTGTTTAACTGGGCCTCCGAGGATTGTCCAGCCCCTTCTTTCTCCTGGACGGGGGCTGCCCTCTCCTCCGGAGGAACCGGGCCCGCCACCTCCCACTTCTCCGTGCTGAGCCTCACGCCGAGACCCCAGGACCACGACACCAGCCTCACCTGCGGAGTGACCTTCCCTGGAAGTGGCAAGAGCACACAGAGGACCGTCCGGCTCAGCGTGGCCTGTGAGTGTGGCGAGGACTGTGCGGTGTGGGGACAGGCTGGGCGGATGGGGACGCGGAGGAGCCCCGCAGGGCAGCGAGCGGGGTCCTGGTGTGGCCTCAGCCCTGGGGCACGGGTGGGAATGGCGTCTGCTCTCTGTGCACACACGTGAGCTTGGTGCCGCCTTGTCACTTCTCTTCCCTGGGAACATCACACTTTCTTTGCCGAGGGAGGAGTTAGCACTTTGGGGAACAAGCAGCCCTCCCTGAAGCCTCCTCACAACCTTGTTGCAGACGCCCCCAGAGCCCTGGCTGTCAGCATTTCCTGGGACAACGGGCCAGGTACTGGGGTCCCTCCTGGCTGGTGCAGGGCCGGTCCTCTTGGGGTAAAAAGGCTTTGGGGTGAGGGGGCGTGCTGCTCCCTGCAGCCCTCATCTCTGTGTGTGTGTGTCTCTCTCTCTGTCTCTGTGTCCAGCCCTGCAGCCCCAGGGCACCGTCCCACTCGTGCAAGCCCAGAAAGGCCAGTTCCTGCGGCTCCTCTGCGCTGCTGACAGCTGGCCCCCGGCCACGCTGAGCTGGACCCTGGGGGACAGAGTCCTGTCTTGGTCCCACCCCTGGGGCCCCAGAACCCTGGGGCTGGAGCTGCCCCGGGTGCGGGCTGGGGACTCAGGGCGCTACACCTGCCGAGCGGAGAACAGGCTTGGCTGGCAGAACCGCAGCCTGGAGCTCTCCGTGCAGTGTGAGTGTGACCAGCAGGGCCTGGGGACCTGGGGGGAGAGGGGGCGGGTGCAGGGTGGGTCAGAACCCAGGCCTATGGGACTCGGCCTTCTTACCCTTGGGCAGTTGGCATCCGAGCCTCAGAGGGTGACTCCGCCCCTCCCACCCCACATCACCCCCCACCTCGGTCTCCAGGGACCTTCCCTTTGCCCAGAGGGAAGCCCTGGCCCGTCTAGAGCGCCACCCTGTGTCCGTGCAGATCCTCCAGAGAACCTGACGGTGCTGGTTTCCCAAGCAAACAGAACAGGTAGGAAAGGGGGACAGAGGGACCAGGGCCTCTCAGCCAAATGGGGGGCCCGGTGTCTGTCCCCACACAGGAGGGTCCCTGTGCCCTCAGCAGGGCATCGATTCTGCCTCTTCCCTTCCCTAGTCCTGCAAACCCTGGGGAATGACACGTCCCTCCCAGTCCTGGAGGGCCAAAGCCTGCGCCTGGTGTGTGTCGCCCTGAGCAACCCCCCAGCCAGGCTCAGCTGGGCTCAGGGGAGCCGGACCCTGAGCCCGTCCCAGCCCTCAGAGCCTGGGGTCCTGGAGCTGCCCCGGGTCCAAACAGAGCACGAAGGAGAATTCACCTGCCACGCCCAGCACGCCCTGGGCTCCCTGAACGTCTCGCTGAGCCTCTCTGTGCACTGTAAGTGGAGGAGGGGGCGCCTGGGTCCCGGGGTGGGGACCCTGCTGAGCGCTGTCCTCTGTCCCCACAGACCCCCCGCAGCTGCTGGGCCCCTCCTGCTCCTGGGAGGCCGAGGGGCTGCGCTGCAGCTGCTGCTCCCGCGCCCAGCCCGCCCCCTCCCTGCGCTGGCGGCTGGGGGAGGGGCTGCAGGAGGGGACAGGCAGCCAGGGCTCCTTCAGGGACACCCCCAGTGCAGCCGGGCCCTGGGCCAACAGCTCCCTGAGCCTCCCAGGGGGGCTCAGCTCCGGCCTCAGGCTCAGCTGCGAGGCCCGGAATGTCCACGGGACGCGGAGCGGCACCGTCCTGCTGCTGCCAGGTCAGGGCCACCTGGCCACTGAGGTTCTGTTGTGGGCCAGGGCCTGGGGTCCTGCAGTTGGAGCAGGAGCTGGTGGGGACCTGTGGTTTCTGGATGTCATGAGAATACAATGGCAGTCCTTCCCTGGGCCCCGGGCGTGGCGGGGTGTCCTAGAAGAAGAAGAGGGGTTGCGGGCAGTGTCTGCGGTGGGCTCGGGAAGCCTGCACGCCCAGTGGGAGGACAGTGCTCACCTGACGCTCCCTCTTGCAGGCAGGAAGCGCCCCTGCTCAACAGCACTCTCTAATGGAGTGTTTCTGGGAATCGGCATCACGATGGTCCTTTTCCTCTGCCTCACTCTGATCATGTAAGTTACGAGGAGTGAGGGGTGTGGGGTGTGGGGTCTGGGCCTGGAGAAAGGGGAGGTGCAATGTGCCCGCCAACGTGGGATCCATCTCCTCAGCGTGAAGATTCTGTGGAAGAAACAGACTCAGGCGGAGACTCCAAGGCCCCGGCTTTCCCGGGGCAGCACGATCCTGGATTACATCAACGTGGTCCCTAGGGCCGGTCCCCTGGTGAGTGGCCAGGCCACGCTGCCTCTCTTCTCTGCAGCTAATGTCCCCTCTTCTGACTTCTGCCCACACCTCTTCCCTGTCCTGCCCCACCCTGGCCTCGGGAACATCAAGGCAGAACAAGCGCCAAGTACACTATTGGGTTCAAACCCGGCTGCCACTTACTAGCTGTGAGACGTCAGCCAAGTCGCTCAGCCCCTGGGAGGCTCCATTTCTTCCTGTTTCCCTTGAGAGTTGGTTTGAGGGCTAGAACACATGCGTTTACTCAATACGCAGCCGCTGTTCCATTATTGCCATCACCATTGACAATGCTAATTATAATTAAATGTTTAATAATTATTAGTATCACTGAGAGGCAGTATTCCCTAGCAGTTAAGCACAGAGGGTCTGAAGTCAGCCTGCCTGGGTTTGAATCCTGCTTTTGTCACTGTGTGTTCTTGAACAAGTCATTTAACTTCTCCATGCCTCAGTTTCTTTAACTGTAACATGAGGATCACAGCAGCACTCACCTCCTAGTATTCCAGGCATTAAATATATGGTACCTGCAAAACATTCAGAATAGTGCCTGCCTGCTAGTAGGTGTTCCGTAAATGCTAGATATTAGGAGATAACCTCCTATGCCGACAACTCCAACATTTACGTCTCCTGGCTTCTTTCCCGTACTTCATACTCATATCCAAATGTGATCCCCCCGGGGTGTCTAATAAGCACCTCAAACGTATCCAAAACCAGCTCAACACTAACTCCACCGACTACCTTCCCGTCACCCCCATCCTAGCAAGTAACGCATTTGCCCAGCCAAGGCTACGGCCCTAGAACCTTCTTTCCCTCTGCTCTTCTCTGTCCCGGACGAAGTTTAAATGACATTGTGTTTCTTTTTTTTTTCTTTTTTTTTTTGTTGCAAGAACACAGCAGTGGCAAAGGCAGGATTCCAAACCCAGGCAGCTGACTTTCAGACCCTCTGTGGCTTAACTGGCTAGGGAATACTGCCTCTCAGTGATACTAATAATTATAAACATTTAATTATAATTAGCATTGTCATGGTGATGGCAATAATGGAACAGCGGCGGCGTATTGAGAAACCGCATGTGTTCTAGCCCTAAACCAACTCTCAAGGAAACAGGAGAAATGGAGCCTCCCAGGGGCTGAGGGACTGGCCTGACGTCTCACAGCTAGTAAGTGGCAGCCGGGTTTGAACCCAATAGTGTTACTTGGCGCTTGTTCTGCCTTGATGTTCCCGAGGCCAGGGTGGGGCAGGACAGGGAAGAGGTGTGGGCAGAAGTCAGAAGAGGGGACATAGCTGCAAGAAGAGAGGCAGGTGGCCTGGCACTCAGCCAGGGGCGGCCTAGGGACCACGTTGATGTAATCCAGGATCGTGCTGCCCGGAGAGCCGGGGCCTTGAGTTCCGCCTGAGTCTGTTCTTCCACAGAACTTCACGCTGAGGAGATGGACCGCACGTTGGCGGGCACATTGCACCTCCCTTTCTCCAGGCCCAGACCACACCCACACCTCACCTCCTCGTATTCATGATCAGAGTGGAGGCAGAGAAAAGGACATCGTGATGCCGATTCCCAGAACCTCCATTAGAGAGTGCTGTTGAGCAGCGCGGCGCTTCCCTGCCTGCAAGAGGGAGCGTCAGGTGAAGCATTGTCTCCCACTCGGCGTGCAGGCTTC